CAAGACTTTTGTGTACACATCTCCACACAGTTAGCAGGGTGAAAAAGCCTAAACACATATACAAAGGGCTTTCCACCCTGCACATCCTTCACTCTAATCCTAATAAAACTTAAAATCATTTTAAGAGCCTATAAATCCAAAAAACACACCAGATTTTATCTATGAATAAAAATTAGGGACCCACAACCATTTGGAGGTCCAAGAAAGAAGTATCAAAAAAAGAAAAAGAAAACAAGTACTGGTATAAATCCCTCCAAGAAACAGACACTAGACCCCGCTACAATAATGTGACACACAAGAGGTGAGAAATTAGCTACTGTTTGCTATAACATGGCTTTCCAAGAACTGCTATATATCCCGGAGGCTGCATCAGATACCAGTATTCTTGTTAAGATCACAAGCAATTTCGACCAACAAACTCCAAAGAAAGCTTTGTTCACAAGGACAACATTAGCCAATCATATCGCATTTCCCACCTTGGGGCAACAGACCACTCATTAGAAGACTCGTCAGAATGCTTTTGTTTTGGTATGCAACATATCCTATTTGAACAGTCTCTCATAGTGTGTTTCTGACTTGCTTGAGACAAGGAACAATATGCAAAAGGATGGCTTAATAATTGACAAAAAAAAATATTGGCATTTTGTTTTGTTTTTAGTTTTTATTTTTTTTAAATTTATATATATATATATAGTTGTGGTTGTGAATATGAGTACATGAACATATAGATCTAATTGAGTGTTTTTTTTTATGCATTCTCTGTTATCTTAATTTACACCTTGCTACTGTCTACAACCGTATCATGGTCATATTGATGCATACAAATAGATTTGTTTTAGATTTTATGAAGGTTTTTATTTTTCATTTCAAAAAGGTTTGTTGATCTATAGATCAATGTAGTATATAGTTTATCAAGTGTCCATTTTTCTTTGTCTTTCCAAACCTTTGAGAATTTAAGGATGGTTCTCAAAAATTCCTAAGTTTTGCAACCTCAGTCTGATGCTATTGCTCTACACTTGTTTGTTAAAAAAATATATGGTTTAATTTGATCTGAAATGTTTTTTGTTGTTAAATTTTTTTTTTATTTATTTATTTTTTTTTTTTGCAGAATTCACGAAGGTTGTCCATACAACAATTGAATTGGTGGTGATGGGATTTGTAGGCTTCTTCTGTATACTAATTTTACATCACTTAATTCATGGAGGCAAACAGTTTAGAAACCTTTATATGAGCTACCTACCCTTCAAATTTTTGTTGAAATATGCAGTAAAACCTAGAGATTATGGAGATAATTAAAGATATTTGAAAACTTGTGCTTTTTGGATTATATGAACAATTTAAAATTTATTATGTTGTATGATGAATTTATTATTTCATTTGTTGGTATGGTGTCTTACCTTTGGTTTATTATTCAAATGCGGATTTGCTTATAATGTTATTGATAGTTCCCTAGTTGAAAAACAACTTGTGGAGGGGGTCAAGAGAATGATATACTGATAATAGTTGGTGAAGCTGGAAGCGGAAAAACAACACGTAAGTTTTGTATTTTTATGATATTCTTTTCTAATTTCCTTTAGAACAACATGTAAGAATGTTCTAAAGTGGAATATAATATATGGTGTTCCTTTGTGATTCCTCATATAGATGTTTGGTTGGAACTTAATATTTAACATGTCCTCTTTAGTAGGTGTCTTTACGTGATAATGTACTCTTCAATATGAATTTCGATGCATTTGGAGCAAAGTAGGCTTTGAGCTTTATGCATGCTTTAGGCTCTTATCTAGGTAGTGTATGATATCAAACAAGCGATGGATCATTTTGCCTACTCAAGATAAAAGGCTAGCAAAGTAGGCTTCAACACTTCATATTACTTACAAAGAGGTTTACTATTGAATCTTTATTGTCACAATTTCTTAGTTGGGTTTTTACGCCAGGACCTTCAACTTGGGGGACAAATATAAAAAGGGTTTACTCTTCCTTACAGTTGATCTTCCCCTTGTTTATTCTCTAACCTTTTACTCTTATATGAGCCAATTTTTCTAGAGTTGCCACAGTTTTTGTTTAATGCGGGATTCTGTCGTGATGGGAAGAGTGTATTCAATTTGGAAATGAAGTATTCACTACATATTTTCCCCTTTCTGGTCAGGCACAAATTGCAACAAAGTGCTTCTCAAGTCTAGAGGGAGACCATCTGATTTTCACAAATAGTTTGTGAAAGGTGTTTTTTTCAGTAGTAGTAGACATAGAGGGAAGTGAGTGGGAATCATAAAACAAGACTTTTGTGTACACATCTCCACACAGTTAGCAGGGTGAAAAAGCCTAAACACATATACAAAGGGCTTTCCACCCTGCACATCCTTCACTCTAATCCTAATAAAACTTATAATCATTTTAAGAGCCTATAAATCCAAAAAACACACCAGATTTTATCTATGAATAAAAATTAGGGACCTACAACCATTTGGAGGTCCAAGAAAGAAGTATCAAAAAAAGAAAAAGAAAACAAGTACTGGTATAAATCCCTCCAAGAAACAGACACTAGACCCCGCTACAATAATGTGACACACAAGAG